TCCATCACTACTACTACCTCTTCTTCCTTCACTTCTTATCTTCGTGGCACGGACGACGCGCGGTTCGATACACGATCAACGATAGATACACTTCGTGTCCTCGGAGGATTTCGCGATACGCTGCACATATTCGCCGGATGCACCATCGATTATGCGGAACGTCGAATTTTACTTTCCCACGAGCGCTCTCCTCGTACTTCGGAAGAAAGAATTTCTCTCCTTTCAACAGCCGATAGAAAGAACGAGAGAACGTTCTCAGGAGGGGTTAATTTGCATTGTGGACGGAAGTGTAAGGGGTAAGGTAAGTCTATTCAGACGACGTTGAACGAGGATATAGGTAGAGATTATTTTCGATCTGCGAGCGGCGGGGGACACGCGCGATACGCACTTGCGTACTTACGGCGGTGCTTCTGGGCTGGGTCGAGGGGTCGTGAGGTGTTAGTCATGGAACGAACCGACCTTAAAGTGGCTGCATCGAAAAATAATTGCTCGTTGACAGGCCGTGAAATGAATTTATTTAATTTCAGATAGGTGTAACAGAATTACACGGCAGTTGGAGGTGCGATGAAGCCTGGCTGGCGTGACGAGCCACTCGATGAGCTGCCCCCCGTGCCTGTGGAAACGGCCAGCCGCCTCTGCTTCCAACTCCGACCTCCACCCGAATCCCATTTTTCTCGGGCCTACTCTAGCAACCAAAGAAAACTCTCCTCCTCCGAGATCCTACTGTCGATCGGTGTATCACCGATGCCGTGTTCGAGGGTGAATTATTGGTGGTAACGGAAAGTAGAAGAGGGTGCGTTAATGAAAATTCGTTTATTTCTATCCGTGCTACATCGTGAATACGCCGTAAACGCTACTCGCTACCATAAAAGATTTTATGTACAAAGACCACCCCGTCTGGAGGAAACACGCGTTAATACTATCGTGGTATATGTTACACAGCTATAGAGCCAAGTCTTCTTCCCCCTTGCCGTTCTCTCACGTATTATATCTATATGTTACACACACTTTGCCAGCACACGGGCTACTGGGGATCGTGGGAGTGGGGGAATAAGTTGTCGCTTATTTACAGGTCGCTCGAATTCCGGGAAAAGGAAGAGCAAAAAAGAGGAGCGGTTGTAT